AAAAAAAGTACTCGTCATACTCGGGAATAGAGATCCATCGTACTTCACCGTCATCACTCGAGTCTCATGGTCCTCTTCCGGCTGGACGTAGCTCGAAGTCGAGCACGTACTGTCCCGTCTTGTTGCCTCCGTCGTCTTCGAGTTTTTACCAACTTGCCACTCGACTCTGCCCACTCGACCTCATGCTCCACTGCATTTCGACATCGCTTTGCACTTGTCGTAGCTGTTGCTGCCTGCACTGAAGCCGCCGTTGCTCTTTCATCCGCCCAAACATTTTGTCCTCCACACACTGGTCGTTATGTTCAAATCTGCTGTAGCCTTCTGCAGTAGCTCCACTTCTGGATGATAGGTCGTAAGAAAACTAGCATGAGCTATAAATTCTTCCGGCTCTGCGCTCTGATCTTTTCGTCCCACCACGTAGTTATCGTGCCCTGTAGGCTCTATAATTCTCAGCAGTCCTATCCACATGTGAACCAACTTTGTAGCTGTCAGCTCAATTGGCGGCTGGAACATCCAGAACCTGTCTCCTGTCTTGAATGTCCTCGTCTCTTTTGCACGCCTATTGTAATACCGAGCTTGACACTCTTGTTCTCGTCGTCTTGATCGGTCTGCACATTCATGACTGCTTCGCATTGCTGCTAACAACTTCACATGATACTCCGTTAAAATGCCTGCCGCACTCACGCTCGCATTTCTCAACAGTTCATTTGGCGACATGGCCACCGTCGAGTGTCTACCGGCATATACAGCGAAATCAACCCAGGTGCCCCAATCGTTCTGATCCCCAGTCGCAGTCTTTCTATGTCCTGTGGAACCTCTCCACGATGCCGATCGTCTGTATCAAATTTGGATCGGGGTTAATCTGTTATGCCTGCAGAAGCGTCACTAACCTCTTAATCACAAGCCCCGTTAGATTTGGTGCCCCATCAGCTAGTAATTCGCGAAACGCTCCAAACTTTAATATCGTATTCTCATAATAAACTTTGGCGCGTTTACTGCTTTATTTTGTCCAACTCTTGTACCTACTGCATACTTTGCGACGTTTTCCTCTGTGGCAATTGTGTATCTTTGTCTTCCTTCAGTTTGCGGAAGTAATTCTGTTATACCCAATGTCCACGTCTCTACCTCATAAGCTTTGCAATGGCGGATTCACCTCTCTCGGCCGGGATTGCCGACTCCCGCACTCTTGGCATCCTGGCACTCATCGCTTCACTTCACGTTGTAAGTCTGACTGCCAATACAACTGGTCAATGCGGGTACACGTGTGAGGTGCATCTCGTCACGCGCTAGCTGCTGGGCTTCCACCAGTCGTTGCTTTGCCTCACGTGTCCTTGGTATCAACACTTCGCTTGTACTTTTCCGTGTTGCGACCCACCATCGTGTAGTCGTCCTACTTTCCTTGGCATCTCTTCCGTCACCATCGCGTTTTGTGATACCTCGCTGCGCTCTTCGTCCGTGGCGTTGTTCATCGGTGTCTCCACCGCCGACTCGCCATCTACGTACTCTTTGTCCTTGGTTGTCATGATTCTTGGTGCTGCCGTCGCTCCGACTGTGCAATCGCCTTCTTCAATTGTGACCCCGCCTCTGAGGCTCCACGTGATTGCTGATAACAGCTGTACACACTCGTGAACGGAGTGACGGGGGAGGTTGAAGGCGACATCAGCCGATGTGAATGCTCTGGTAGAGCTGGACGAGATGTCCGTCGCCGAGTTTGGCGAGGCCTTGAAGGCAGGCGGCTTAGCCGAAGTGGTCTTGATAAGACCTGAGGAGGAGTTGAACTCCCTTCTGCCGTTGCGCACATCATTGACATTTCAGCTTGTTCTTTCAACGACCTCTGTTGATTTTCCATCAGCTCCACCTTTCTTTTTGCTATCTGGAGCTGCTCTTTTAGGATTTCCACTTGTGCCATAGTTGCCGCGGCCAATTCGCGTTGCGAGTGCATTATAGCTTTGTCGACTTGTCCTTCTAAGTGATGCTGCTTCGCTTTCTTTTTCCCAGCGGACGCAGGACGTGCAAAAGAC